TTCTTATGAAACCACCAGCAGCCTTTGTTGCCCCTGCCAGCAAAAAGCATGAACTGCAATCCTTGCTGCTGGGGAAATAAATTTCCCTTCAGATGTGCACGGAGCACCCTTGGGTGGTAGTGCAGCTTTGTTCTGCCTGAACTGATTGTTCATGCAGCCTGGAGGAGCTAGAGCTGCAGGCAAGCCCTCGAGGATGCAGTGAAATCATACAGCTTGTTGGATGACAGCATGCCCTTCACAGCAAACAAATAACCAACTGCACAGCAAATCCTGCCTGGGGGACGGCGGATGGGATGGAAAACACAGCAGCCACTCGATGCAGAGAACTAACTCACCATAAATTCATGCTGCTCACTTACCTCTGTATTTGAAGACCTCTTGCAAGGACATGAACAGTCTGCACTGCAGTCCTGGGCATTGCTACTCTTCCCTATGTAACAGAGCACATCAAGCAGTTGCTGCACCCTCAGCTCAGATGCTGTGATTAAACTAACAGCTGTGATGTGCACAGCACACAAGGAAGAGGAGATATCCAGGGAGTGCACAGCACCCAAAATGCAAGCAGAATGCTCAAGGTGCAAGCACAGCACCTGAGATGCATGCTGCACAACACCTGATGTCCCTGCACAGCACCAAAATGCATGCAGCTCAACACCTGACGTCCCTGCACAGCATTACACCCACACCATGCACAGCACCGAGATGCAAGCACAGCACTGCATCCATAGCCTTGCACAGCACCTGCAGCTCTTGCAGCACAGAGCTGAAGGCACAGCAGCTGCCTGCGGGTTCTGCTCGCACTCGCTAGGGGGAGGCAGCCTCCAACAGAAGCCAGATGAGGATCTCAGAGCAGCACGGAAACGCTCCATCTTCTCCATACAAAGGCATTTCCCTCGTACCGGTCCCAATCTGAGCCTCCCCAGCGCTAGGCTTGCTGCAGCTCCGTTTGGGTTCCTGTGCTCGGTTGCTTTTGCCTCCCCAAATCCCCCTCCCAGGTTAATTCCCTCCATCTCAGCATGTGCCAACGATGAGATCAGCAGAATGTAACAGCTCTGAATGAGGAAGCCAGGCACCCTTTAAGTCTGTATGGTTTCGATACTGAAGCACTTTGAAACATCCTTCTCAGGTGACACCACTGAAGGAGCCATTTAATGATTATAAATAGGGTGGATATGAGGGATAGGGCACAAAAAGACCTGCTGATCTGTTCCAAAAGCAATTTCTCAGACCTCGTACCTGAAGTCTAAGGGATGTTTTTTGTTTTGTTCGGAAGCTTTCTGAAATCATCTGAAACAAAAGCAGTTACTTGCAAAGATCAGCACTGGGAGGTGGTTGCCCTCCCCCCTCAGCCTTAGGGAAAGAAAGCTTAATGAAGGATGCAGTCAAATTTTTAAGGAAGTTTGAGAAGAGATTACATTTTGAAACCCCGCAGTGCCTTCACTGGGCTAATTTAGGGGGGAAAAAAGCTCAATTTCTGCTTTCTCTGGAGCTCTTGGTGTGACATTTTTGCTCAGCTGTGCCCAGTAACCCCGGCTCAGCTGCAGTCTGGAGGGGCTCATTGCACTCCCACTCGGTGCAGAAAGGGCTGAATGTGCACAGCCTTGAGGGAGGTCACAGCCCTGACCTCCATTTACCTGCACCCAAAGCAGAGCTCTGGGCAGAAATCCCAGCACAGCAATCCTTCCCCTGCTGTGAACTTGGAGCTGCCAAAGCGCATCTCCTCCTGTGTGCTGAGCATCCTAAGCATCCAGCATTGCTAACCACCAGCAGCAAGTGGGGAAATAAGATTTAATCCTGTCAAGAAACTTCCATAGAAGCAGGCTTTCTGGCTCCCCAGGCATTTTAATGCCACATTCACCTGAATCACTGTGTCTAAACATCCATCTGTTACCAGCACAGCTTCATACAAACAGCTCAGGAAATTCAAAGGGGATTCAGGTTTCAGGCCTCCCAGCTGTGAAGTGATTTTTCTCTGCAAATGAGGGTTCAGCTCAGTTTGGGATCTCAAAGCAGGTGGTTTGCTCCTGAAGAGCCTCAAGCAGGTGGCCCCAAGCAGGTTTGCTCCCTAGCTGCATGCAGCCCCTTGTCTTCCCACCCCAAAATGCACAGACGAGGACTTAGAGAGGGGTTTTTGGAGTAAAACCCATCAGAAAAAGGGAAATTGGCTTCTGTCAGCATGCAGTTTCTGGTAAGTGGTAGACATTGCTGCCACAGAGCCCTTTGCAGAACACCCCCATCTCTGCACCTTTGCTTTGGCACAGAGGGAGGTCAGAACATTTGCTGAGGTTGATTCGTGGCTGCATGCAGCGGTGCAGTTTGGTCCCACTTCACCCAGCCATGCCAGCAGAGCTTGGCCTGCTGCCCCCATACTTCATCCAGCCCTAGGGATGGATGCAGTGCTGGGATCTACCTCCTTTCTGTGCACTGCACACACCTTATCCCAGTTTCCCACCTTCCACACTGTTGCTCCGGCTCACAGCACTCAGAGCAAGCATCACTTGCCCAAACCATCACAGAGCAAAAATACCAATTCTACCCCCCGAAACGCAGCCCAAAGGAGCTGGAGCAGAGTCTCATTGAATGCAGCGAGCTGTGTTTATCTTCTGGTTCAGCACTACCTCTCACAGAAAGAGGAAATGGTTTGGAGACAGTTTTTTTTTCTCTCTATTTTTTTTTTTCTCCCCCCTCCCAGATGAGCAAAGCGTAAACTAAATGCTGACACAAAGGAAAGAAGTTTTGCAGCAAGAGAAAGCTCAGCCATGGCTGAGCAGTTCCCACGAATGCTGTCCTGCAAAGAGGGATTGGGCCATATCCTGGCTCTGGGCAGCCTGGTCTGGTGCTTGGCAACCCTGCACATAGCAGGGGGGATTGAAACTAGATGATCATTGTGGCCCTTTTCAACCCAGGCCATTCTGTGATTCTGTGCTACAGAGCAATTTGCACAAAGCAAAAGCAACCCCAGAGCCAGGTTGCAACAACCAGCAATGTTCCCCTTGCAAGAGCACTGGGTGATCCTGCAAGCAGGAGGCTGAGGTTTTGTAGGATGCTCCCTATGTCTCAGGAACACAGCTAACAGAGAGATTTCTTCACCAGGACTGGTGTGGCCTTCCCAAATATCATGCAAGAAATAATACTCCACCTGAAGAGATCACCTTGTCATCTTCCTTCAGCTTTAGAACCGAGTCATTCCTGCTCACTAGGAAGCTTTACAGAAAGCCTGCTGGCAGGCTCAGAGCATTTTCAAGAGATGCTTCACAAGTAATACCCATAGGACAGTGCTGCCCTAATAGCTCCAGCAACAGTAAAAAGGAACAACAAAGCTGTCCATCCCTTTACCAAACACAACCCTCAGAACACATCACCTACAAAGCACACAACCACAAAGGCAGCAGCCAATGCTGCAACAAAAGCACCCTGCACCTAATTAGCTTCATTAACAGCAGCTGAGTTGAAAGGAGCCACCACCAGCTGCTGGGGAGGTGTTTATATGAAGGTGAGACTCACTTAATTAGTGGAAATAAGGGTGAGGAACTTGCTGTATGGGTAAAAACAGTTCTGCTGCAGGCACTAAGAGCAATTCTTGAATAGTGATGCCAATACAAAAATACAGCTGTAGCTCTGAGCCCTGCACCTAGATTGCAGATGGAAAGCAAAGCACCAGATTCGTGCCTGCAGCAGCGATGCTGTATTTTTGGGTGCTCACAGGGCTGAAGGTAGCACTGAGCACAGCCACTGGGTGGCAATCTCCATCCAACGGTGACACCCCTGGGGCTGCCACATCCCCTCCCTTCACCCTACATGCAAATGTGCTAACATCTGGTAGCCAGGCACCTCATACAGATAGAGCCCAGCTATGCAAATAAGGAACAGGGCCCAGCTGAGCTGTCATCTACTTACAGCTCTTGGGTTTTAATTATTATTATTATTATTATTATTATATTATTTTTTTCCCAATGCTCAACTGCTGGTTGCTGGGCTCTATCGCTGTGCCTGAGGCAATGTCCCCACCCTAGCAGGGCAAAACAGCCCTTTGAAATGGGGTGCCATGCTTTGTGCGAGGTCGGTGTTACCCATAAATCTCCTGCTTTTCTCCCACTCAGTATTTCCCATTTGCACCCTACGCAGGATCAGGGCTCACAGCATCCTGGGTGCCCCAGGCAGGAGCAATGGGAGCTCCAGATGCAGCCCCTCTCCTCTGTGTTCACAGTGGGGACATCACTACAGCTCTACCCGTGGGATATTATGAGGACAAGCCTACATCCACAGTGCCCAGAGGACGTAGGCTGTGCTTCCAGCAGCTAATGCCACGCACAGTGTAGAGCAGCACAGCTCAGACCCAAGGACCCGATGACTCAAATCTGTGTAGCAAAACCAGCAGCAAAGCACTGCATAAACTTTTGGTTGTGTTGGTCCTACCCGTGCTCCTGCTGCAGCTTTCAGAGCTGCTTCATCACCCTGAACCACACAGATAACAACCCTCCCAGTGCCACCATTATCCTTATCTTGCAAAAAAGCCTCCTTCCAGGCTTTGGCTATCCAAAACCCCAAAGCCAAGCATTGCATATAACCCACAATGGTGGAGAATGGCATCAGGAACAAGCTCTCTGCCCCAAAATGAGCACAGCCACCTCTTCCTCCTCTCCCAAACCACTGCCCAGGAGCAGGAGGGAGGTGATGGGGTACACTGCTCCAATACCAATGAGTAAGATGCTTTGGTTCCCCTCTGGTTTTGTGGGGACAAGCAGTGACGCTGCGATAGGTCTCAGTGCTCGTCGCTGCGGTCGCTGCTGAAGAAACAGCTGTGGTAGCACCAACAAGAGGAATTGCAGCAGGTGGTGAAGTGATGCAAGGCACTGCTGTCGTGGGAGAGAAATGGCACCCATGGGGTGGGATCAGAGCGAGTGGCCTGATGGAAAGGTGGGTGATGGTAAAAGGTCTCTGGAGCTTATCTGCAAAGCGCCGCCCCAGAAAGAGGGAGAATGCTGACATGGAGGAGCAACAGGGGAGAAGATTTGCACTGAGTACCGAAGAGGCTTCAATGAGCCTCAACAACTCATTCAATGAGCCTCAACAACCAGCACTGAGAACGTTTTCCCTTGCAAAAGGGATTCCTGCAGGCAGGAGGCTGAGAAGAGTTTCTGTAGGAAAAAGACTATTCTCAAAGCCTTGTGAACGCAGCAAATAGAAGAATTTCTTCTTAACCAGGGCTTGCTCAGCGCCTGCTAGGACTGGCACCGGAGCTGCCACAAATGGAGGGCAAACAGGAAGAAGTTGGTGACGACTGGGAGCAGCTTCTGGCTTCAGGGCCAGTGTTACCCACACCACCAGCTTGTTCTCACTGGCTGAAGGTGAGGAGAGGAGAATTTCTCTGGGTGCGGCTTTCCCAGCAGGGTGAAGCTGATCACAAACACTCTGATTCAGCCTTGAGATTTCTCAGGGTAATCATTAAACAGGAAAATGCCTTTATAGAGCTTAAAAATACTTTGCTTGCTGCCAACATCTGCTCCCAACTCAAGGCTGACAAGGTTTCCAGGAAACTCTCTCAGCTTCTTTATCATTTTTATTAAAGGTTGTAAGTCAGTGCTGGTGGCACATTTTAGGCAAATGAGTCACGAGAGTGAAGTCCTATTTTAGCCGCAGAAATGATCTAATGAGGGCAGCCACAATGCAGCTGGGTGGGAGGGGTGTCCAAGCACAAAGGCACTTTGTTCTGCCAGGTTTTGGATACAGGATACGCAACCACAAGAAGGAGGTTCTTGTGCTCTCCCAACAGAAGGCTGTCAGGTTGGCAGGAGGCAGTTGTGGGTTCCTGGCCAACGTGGCCACCGAATCACTCCCATTCACCTCCAAGATAGCATCAACCAACGGTGGCCACAGAGATGTTGGATGGGACACACAGAAGCGAGGGCTCGGTTTCATGCAGGTGGACCCAAGAACAGTATGAGGCACAGACACAAAAAGTCCTGCCTTGGTTTCAATGGTGAACCACACGGTTTGGTCGCATTGTTTTCATTCTTGACTCGGGACGGGAGGGGAGAGGAAAATGACTCCGACCTGGTTATTTCCCCCGAAACCATCACGAGAAGGTGCTCAGCCAATCGGGGCTGTCGCCCAACATTCCATCCTTCCCTTTTATGGTCAAAATCTGGCCTCTCCAAAAAAAAAAAAAAAAAAAAATTAAAAAAATAATCAGAGTTGAACATGGACCGCACAGAGATGCGATGGGTGCGTTGTGGGGCAGGCTGTCCCATGCCATGCTCTGTTGGCACACCGAAGGGCCAGGAAAGGGGAAAAAGCTCACCAGGCAGGAGGTGATGTCTTCTGTGGCGTCAAAACCTCTTGGCTCAAAAATGGAGTGCCATAAAGCCTTGAGATACAGCGTGTGAAGGTGGAGGAACTGCTGGGCATCTTGAGTACCTATGGTGGTGATAACCAATTAATTGGGGTTCAAGAAAGCACCACAGCTGCTGATGGGAATGGTCGTGGGAGCAATTCCAAGGTTGAACATGGCTCACACCCCCTGTTGTATTTGTTGACACAGCTTGATCCCAGCTGTGAGGGGCAGGGTCACCTGCAAATTCACACTGTGGGCTGACACTGGGATCTGAGCACCCAGATCGAGATGTAGATGTCCACATTCAATGCAGAGGAGTTGGAAGGGATCTATAAAGGTCATCTAGTCCAACTGGAACAATTCTGATTCTGTGACATAGAGCATCACTAGATGCCAACCCAAACCCTTAGAGTGAAGATGTTTGGATCTGGTTTTTCCAGATACAACCACACAGCCCATGCCAATCTTTGCTTGGCAGTCCTACCCTGCCCTCAAGAAGAGGTAGATGAAACAGATAACTAACGAGCCATGAAGGAAACCACTTTCCTACTCTGACCCTGAGCATCCTTTCTGGCTTTTGTTCTGACCTGAGGCAGGATCTGCAATTGCCTGTCCTTTTCAAGCGAGATGAACTCAAGGAAGCTTTGATTCCTGATCGGTGCAGTCCCATCAGATCCCCAAACTCTGCACCTATCCCCAACCAGTGCATACATCCCAATCCACCCATCAATACTTATCATGCACCTTCACAACTAGCAGAAAAATTCACAGATGTGTTCTCATTGCATTTAAATTCCAGACTTGGACAGAACGTGGAGCAAATTACTGGGGGAGGGGAAAAGGGTCGCTTGAAGCAATCTGCCTCAGGGTAAAGTTGGGCTCCCACCTCAGTCCCAAATCTTAGCCTAAGGCAGCCCCGTAAAATGAATAATCTCCCTGGGAACATGTCTATTCCCAGCACTCCTATGTATTTCCTCATACTTATTGTGTTTAAGATGCCAATGAGACATGATCACATTGAAGTGTTTGGTTAGAAGGCAGAGCCCTTACCGAGTGAGAAATAGAGGTGCCACTGCTGAAAGAGGGGTTGAATGATGTCACGTTGGGCCCTGGTTGAGTCTTCATCACACAAACCTACTGGAACTGAGACAGGAGATTCGGTATTGGTGAGCAGAGGAGAGGTCCGTGGGTTTCCCTTTGCCCACCATCCCTTGTAGGGTGATGCAGCCACCAAAATAACAGATTTCATTCCTCTCGCGTTCTTTCCGATGGCCCCCTGGTGTAAAATTAGCAGCAGGGAAGTTTCAGAAATGAATTCTCAAATGCGCTCTGGTTGCAAGAAGAAAAAAATTTGTACCATGGGGAAAAATCTGCCAGGCTGAAACTGCACAAATGAACAGAAAAATGCTCTGCTGAGACAGAGGTGTCGTGGGGAAGCATGGGGGACATACAATATTCTTGACCCAGACTTCCATGCTTACCTGTGAGAGCTGAGAGCAAAGCGCTTGAAGGCCACTTCTACGTTCAAAGAGCTGCTGATCCAGTCACTAATGGGAAGGAATAAAGCACAGGTATTAAGAAGATGGATTAAGAGCTGTTTCCGTGGCTCGAGGAGCAATTCAAGGAGAGGAATCAGTGGGAAGGCAATCCCCCAGGGCAGCACTTCGCATGGCACGCTCAGTGCCACATGGCCCTCCAGCTGGAGCTACCAGCCCACGTGCACAACAGGAATATGTCGTGCTGACCCATTAGTGGCAACAAAAGGCTGAAAAAGAACCTTTCCCAGTGGGTGTTCAAATCAGCTCTGTAGCACATCTGAAAGGATGACCTTAGCTGAAAGGATTCCAGGAAATCCACTGTCAGGAGGCAACTCGTCAATGTTTAACTGCAGGTTGGTTGTGCTGCTCTCAGTGCACAGGGGAGGACGTGTTCCCACCTGGTAATTAATCAGGGTTAATTAAGAGCAGCACATCTAGCTGATGGGTGCTTAGGGTTGCTCCTTGCCCCAGATGGGTATGGCCCCATGCAATCAGCCATACTCAAGAGGCAAAGCAATGACAGCTCGCTGCATGTGCTTTCTCACCACTTTATCCAGAGCTACTTGCTATTTGCTTATTCTTCCCCCATGAATCTCCAGCTCCCAGAGTCCTGTTGTTACATCAGAATCATTCTTCCTTTTTCTGCAAAACAAGAACTTCACAGGCTCTCAAATGGAGAGACAAAGCCGAGCAGGCGATGGGTGTTTGTGCAAAGGCTGCGCCTTTCAGCATGAGCTCCATGTGTCCTCCAGGCTCTGACCTGTGTCATTCTGGGACACGATGATTTAGGAAAATTACTGACCTTGGCCGAAGCAGGATGACGTGGTGGCCAGAGAGATAAAGCAATTAGGAGGATGAATCCTGCTTTTTTCGTCCTGCCAAGATTCTTAAACTGCCTGACCTCTGCAAGGTCAGAGCCTGAAAATGAAAATAAAAGCAAAGACAAAGGTCATTTGTTAGAGGAAAAAAAAAAACGTGCTGGCCTTTCACAACCCCCCTCCCAGTAGCTGTATGAATGTCTTCTCGTGCTTGTGGGCAAATCCCACGTCCCCAGGAGACCTCCAGCAGCTGGGATGGGGCCAGACCCAGGCATGGGGAGCAGGAGGGTCATGGCAGCAGCAAAGGGGGGGGCACAGATGTGTATCCCCATCCCTGCACTGCCTGGAAATGAGATTACCTTCCCAGTCCATCGCTCTGTGTAAGCTCTCCAGGTGAACAAGCAATTGCTAAGGGGAAACGAGCATGACAGAGGGCTTTCACTTTCCATTTCAGCCCTGGGACATCTCCCAGCATCAGGAGGTGACACGTGAAGGAGAGCAGCCTGAACACTGAGGACCTTCCCATTCAGCACTGCATAGGAGATGTCCACCTCCAAGCAGTATTTTCAGGTCAGAAGCAGCATCTCTGCCTGCTTCTTCCCCATTGCTATTGGTTTTAAATCAGAATTCCTGGAATCTCTGCTCCTGGTTCCTTCCCGTGACCCTCCCCCCCCCAGGGGTTTGAGCAGGAGTCCTCAGATTTTGCCATCAATTTTTTCCCCTCGCTATTCCATTCTCTCCAATCAGCAAAACATTTTACTCTCCAGAGTGAAGTCAAGGCTAAAATTCTTAAATTGCAGGCTGCTGCATGGTCCCTATTGGAGCTGCTGACCTGGAGGCTCAGTGGCCAAGGGTACAGCTCTGTGCTTGAGGAAGGATGCCCCAAGCTGAGGGTGAGCTCTGAGCACCACATCCCTGCTGCCAATGGAGTGAACAATCTGCATGCCAAGCAGCAGGGCAACAGCACTTCTCCATTTCCAAAGCTCAGTGCTGTGCTCCTTTCAGGCTGTCACTTTCCTTCTGCACTACCTGGGGCTGGGGAGGGATTTCTTTACAAAAGAAGAGCATGCACAGCAGGAGCAACTTGCTGCGAGCAATTGGCCATCCAGCAAGGTGCTGACAACCTGCTTGGGTTGCCAGCAGATTGAATTAAGTGGCTCCACTCCCGCTTTGGGCTGCATGAGTCTCTCTTACAGGAAGCAGATTTCCTTGCAATTTCCTCGCAGTTTCCTCCTCTGCTGCTTTCTAATGGGATTTGAGGTGCAGTTTGCTCGCTCTCCCTTTCCGTGCCAGCATCCCCCCGCACGCAGCCCATGCAGGGCAGAGCCGTTTGCTCTCTTGCAAAGGCACATCGGTGCGGTTGTGTTTCCTTTTCTGGCAGAGAAAGCGAGCAGTGAGCTGATGCCAAGAGCACAGCCACTGTATTGCACAATGCCAGGACAACGCCAGCTCCAACCGTCAGGGGCTGCGTGGTGGCAGCGGCGGCAGAGGAGGGTGTGCAGTTGGTGCCTTTGCGGCCCCCGGGGTCTTTTTATACTTTTAGAGAAGTTGGGCTCATCCTAAGTTCCTCTCCCACAGATTGTTCCTGTTGTTGTCGCTGCTCCGACCCCGCAGATCATGTGGCTTGGCATGACCTGGTGCCTCACTGCACTCCTGCTAGGCCTGGGCTGGGGGGGGACGGTGAGGACGGCAACTCCTCTGCACCTACAGCTTTCCACCTCTCAGTCCACCTTCCTTTCAGTCCATCCCCTTAGGGAGCTCCTTTGACTTCTGACATGCAGAGAGCTCTCTGTTCCCCTGGGCAATGGCATGCACATTTGCAGCCCCAACGTGTGCAGCCATCTCCTTCCCCAAGCAAGCATAGATGGATGGCATGGTAGAGTCGCCGCAGCTTTTTTCTGCCTGACCCAAAGGTATTTGTCTATCTGAGCCCAGCCTGTCTCCCCTTTGGGTTATCTGTGCATGGAATCAGCTTTGCTCCAAGGGACCGTCTCATTATCCCAAGTGCATTGGAAGGCTGTGGCTCCATAAGGAGAGCTGTGGAGAGCTCCATAAGGAGAGCTCAGGCTGTGTCTGGGGGATAAAGGAGGATAGAGCAATGGGCAGGGACCCACAGTGCCATCCTCTAGGGCAGGGAAGGCACCCTCTCCACTCTCCCCCATGTTTTCCCCCTGTACCACCCGGTGCACACGTCTATTTTTTGCAGCAGTCTTCGTTGCTTCCAATGGTGGCAGAGCAGCAATGAGTTTGAGGAAGTGGTTTGCACAGCCCTCAGACTTTCTCTGAGGTGCAGAGCACCCCAAGGCCAGGCTCCTCGCGTCGAGCCCAGGTGTGCAGGGCTCTGCCTCCAGTGGGATAACGGAGAGGGTCTCCATCCTCTCTGTTTTCATAGAGTCATGGAGTGGTTGAAGTTGGAAAAGGCCACTGAGATCATCTGGTCCAACCGTCACCACATCATCTTCCACCTTTTGCTACTGCAGTGGCTTCTCTATCCATCTCCACGTTCCTGGGATGCCTATGAGAGAGCAAACCACTGCCTCACTGAGCTCCGTTGGCTGCAACCAGTGCCCACACAAGGAGCGGGCAGACAGGTCCACACTAAATGCTATTTATGCAATGCTCCATCACCCAGCACCATGGAAAATCCCACCTGCAGCCCAGCGCTCTCTTTCCCCCAACCTTGCAGCACGTGGTTCTCCATGACTCAGCCCTGTGATCAGAGCAGAGCTCAGCCAACCTCTGCTTTCAGTCAACAGCTCTAATTAATGCTGCAGAGCCTTTTACTGGCTGGGGATCATGAATATTTCCATTGCTGCTCTCCAGCTGTTAATTCCAGTGAGGTCCTTTTCACAGTGATCCTCAGTGATGTCTTCCATCAGGATTTGTCCCTCCTAATTTCAGGGATGGCATTTTCTTTTTGCAAGCGATGTGGTAATATTTTGCACAAGCAGAAAAACATCATTTTTTCTTCAGTAGCAACTGCTAAAACTCATTGGCCATAAAGAAATCCATGCACTGAACAAGCTTCTTGTATTTTAGCTGCACGAACTTGCAGCTCTGTGGCTGAGCTTCATCTCATCTCAGGGGGCATTTGGTGCCAGCAGAGGCTGATGCATACTGCCTAAAAGAGCACAGATGATTTAGCAAGCACATCAACACCTGGAGGGGTTCTTGTTGCACAATGGATGCCATGCTACTGCAGCAGTGTCAGTCCCATGGCATGCACACAGGCCACAGTGGTTTGCACAGTGTCAAACTCACACTTCTGAGCAATCTGTGCAACGCTCCATCTCCAGCTTCCATGGATCTGATAGAGCCAACGCTGCGTGAAAGCGCTTGGCAGAACCAGCCCAGCTCTGCAGCTCTTGGTGCTGAGTAACCCAGCTTTCGTGTGTGGGTCCTGGCCAGGAAATGATTCGGAAAATGAAAATCAAGTCACCCTCCCCAGCAAAACTACAGCAGCAGGGCTGATAATTTTGGGTGAGAGCTGCAGCGGAGCAGAACGGCGCGGGCTGTCCCCCGCCCTCATCAGCTCATGCTCTCACCCCTCGCTGCTTCCTGCCTTCCCCCAACCCTTCTGGGATGGGTTTTGCATGTTTTTCCCCGACGGGGTAGGATGAGAGGGGCCAACGTCGCCCCCAGCATCACCCCAAGCATTGCCCCCAGCTCTGTCCATGCCCAACAGTGATGCAGGGCTGCAAAATGCACCTTTATTTCCTAGCAATCCCCTTTATCACGATACAGAGCTTTGTTTCCCCTATGGATGCAGCTGGTTGCGTGCAAGGAGCCATATAAACCCTTTCTCAGGAAAGTGGCTCTCAGGGGGATTTTGCAGAGCCAAGCAGCTCCGCTCTGCAGAAGGGTGAAATGGGGAAACCCTCCTGCTGCGCTCGGCTGGAAGCTTTTTCGTTTCTGCACTACCTTGTGGCTTTCTGGGAACTCATGGGAGCCCTCCTGCACTGAGCGTTTTCATTAAGGAACGAGAATCCTGTTTTCTTCCAGTCTTCCTCATCACCAAACCCAATGGGGACAAGGGAACTTATCACCCAGGAGGTGCCAAAAGCCATTTTGCTAAATACGCCGCCTCCTTCTGTGCCACACGATGGATGCACATAGTAGGAGCAGTCCCTCTGCCCTTTTGGAAGGGACCAAACCTGCTCCTGCTCAGCTCCATTGATCCCTTGTGTCACAAGGAGCCCCCAACCCCTCTTTCAGCCCCTGCAAGGCGCTCCGTCGCGTTTCATAATTGCCTTTTTGCAGAGGTTCTTATTGAGTAATGCCTATTTTGTTGAAAAATTACACTGCAAACAGCCAGCGGGGAAGGATATAAATAATTGCTAATAAATGTCAAAGCAGATTAGCAAATGAGAAAGGCCAAGAAAGAACTTTGCTTGCTTGCTTTCTTTTTTTTTTTCTTTTTTTTTTTTTTTTTTTTTTTTTTTTTTTTTTGTGTTGGAAAATAACGGTGGGGTTACTGCAGAGATTGTATGTAATGAATACCTTGCAGGGGAGTTGGTGCTTGGTCATTTCCTTAGCTGGCTTAATGTTGTCTGCCTCCTCCGTGGGCTACAGCAAGCCTGGAAAATGGCCTTTTCTTCTGTAAAATGAGAAAAAGCAGACAGAGCGTGGTGGGTTTCTTCTGGGCACATTGAGAGTCATGGGGTAGATGATTCTGCCTGCTCCCATGTTGGAAAATTTGGGGTTATGGCATCCCCAGGGCTCCTGTATCAATGATATTTGATGTTGACTTCTTGAAAAGAAGCCTCTAGGCAAAGAAAAACTGGAGAAATCAGAACTGCAAATCTGAAATAAAGATCAGAATAAGCAAGAATGGTAGTAATCATCGTGAACATGACAGCGCTGTTACTTTGCTGGTGTTTGGGATTTTCAGCCCTGCACGGGGTGTCTCTGCATTT